ACAAAAAAAAAAAAAAACAAAACAATTTAGGTGGCGGAATACAAGTCGATTTGACATCCTATGAGCAAGGTAGCAATGTGAGTTTTCTTATGGAGAACACCCTGAAATATTGACTTTGTGATGCTTATCGAAATTTTTGAGCAAGCATTCCAACCAGTATACTACTGAAAAAATGTTTCGTTTGTGAACAATAACTGCTATGGTTATGGATGGAGTTGTCTTCATTTAACAGCCTTCAATAACACTTGTTTGTTTCACTTGGAACAGAGCAAATTCCTAAACAATTTCGGCTATTCAGGAGTAATATATATTGTTACGTCGTAACCCGACAAATCCACTACTAAATTACGGACGATCATCAAAAACACAGAATTTCGCAACAACTCTGGAGGTAATAAATGTACACTTACGCTGGTAAACGCTTACACCATTCTTGGTATTCACGTGACGTCACAGCATATGCAAATTAGGCGTCCGCCATGTTGGCGTCGCAGGAGCTTAGTAGCATATGTCAAAATGCAGTGTTTTGGTGTGCGCTGTCTAAAATATGTCGCGTGATTTGGAAAAAATTTCTGATCTAAACATCAAAAAGGAAGAAAAAAAAGAAGATATTTGCAATATACCTTTAAGCGACTATGTAAAAAGACTAGAGCCACATGTTCATCAAAGATATTTAGAAAAAATATCCCTTGTGGGGATCGATCCCGCTTCATTGATCGACGCAAAGTTAGAGCCACAATGTTTACCACCCATAGAAGCCACAGATCTTCTGCGCTGTTTAGTCATCGATACGAGTTATTGTACAAAGAAACCGTGGCACTTCAAAGCTTTCAAAAGCTTAGAGGCCTACAACCAGATGGTTTCGGGTTTTATTTCCAGTGTTCAAGGGAAATGTCATAGGAGAAAAATTCGTGGAGATCGGAAAGGTGAGACATTCTCAACGAATGAATGAACGACCAATTGCAGTTTGGATTATTACCAATAAGGAGGTAAACGTGTTATCAGCCCACTGCCTTGGTTGGAAAGCTGGACTAGCTGAGAATGAAATCGACCTTCTTTCGTTTCTCAGCTGCCTCGCGTCCTTGACGTTCGAGTGATCTTTTACGGCGGTCCTTCGCCCGTTTAGCTCTTGCCTCTTTAATAGCGGGGTTTTCCTGTCGATATTTTGTCTTACCGTGATTCTTAGTAGGAACTCAGTCGGGGTTGTACTTACCCCAGGGTTTTGTGGATTGTCCTGACACGACGTGTCGTCCACAGACTCTTTTATTACTGAGGACAGTGATGTTGTCGCGGCTAATGGCGGCGATCCATCTTTCTCTTCGTTCTCTGCTTAACTCTTCTGCTTTTTCTCCTTGGTTAGTGACTACTACTAGAATCCTATAAAACCCTTTACCGTTCGTCTTTCCACTATTATGAAAACAATCAACCATAATACAATGAACCATGATGAAAAATACTTCTAAAGCTTTGATAATTTACGAAAAATGTTTGAATTATACGACACCAATATGGCAGCGTAGCAACCATTGTTAAGGTATAGGTCACGTGGGGGAAGACCAAGAATTGAAATTAAAAACTCCCACTTTATAGCCGGACAACTTTGGAGGAGTGGTTAGTTCGCATATAAACATACAAATTTGTCCAGGCAATTTGACAATGGG